TTTACCATTATAATGTTCCTACAATGACAATAATCAAAATCATAGCATCCTCATGCAGAAAAATCACGCCTATACTTTGTTTTAAATTTAGAGAAGTTTCCGGGCTTGAACAGAATAATCTCAAAGTTTACTGAACTACCATTTGGTTGTTTTTATGTCTCTGATTTTTAGAAGGCCACATTCTATATGCTGTTTGCCCTTCTTGATAATACTTAACATTTGAAAAGTTTCTACCTTGTAATAATGGTTGAAAACTTGTGGCCTGCCACATACTGCTGGGCTACAGCCTTTTACATTTTGTGCAGTTTTCATATTTTAGATTCTTTCTGTTTAGTAGGTTTCTTCACCATAGTGCTTATTGTACTGTTAATTCTGAGTTGGTCTGTTTTAGTAAAGGGTAAGTAAAAGGCAGGCAAGCATCCTATAGAATTTTTTTCTAATAATGAAAGTACATACCTACATTAATAGAAATCTCCTAAGCTTAAGTTTCATTTGATAACCTGTACAGGTAGTCCTATTTGGCAACCTGGAGTGGCAGATTATAATGCTTATAGAAAAGGTTAACATTTTTATGTGAAGTTAAATAAATTTACAAAGAATTTTAATTTGCAGCACAAATGTTATGAAATGGTATAGAGTTTCCTGCCTGAGCAGGGGATTGGACTGAATGATGTCCAAGGTCCCTTCCAACTATTATTCTGTTATAATCAGGGGAAGGAAATCATTCCTTTTGTTTTGTGGGCACATATGGATACTTACAAAGTGCCTTTTAATATGTTAGTATTCAGCCAGGCAACAAACTTCTTTTTATTTGTTACATGTTACATAAATTTTTGTTACATTATATCCTGGTAAGAACCTCAGAAACTTTTTCATAAATAGGCATTATGAAAGGCAACTTACTCAGGAGGAGTCCTCGCTTCTCTCTGAGCTTGGTTGTTTTCTTGCAGATGTTTCATTACCCGAACTAGGTAACATCATCAGTGCTAGTAGGAAGGGGAGTTTGCTCTCAGTTTATATTCTAGTGGCATGCCTTGTCTTATTAATGTTAGAACTGAGATGTCTACCTTTGGCAGCGAGGCATCCTTAATTTCCCTGGTTTGTTGGATTTAAAACTAACAGCTTTTCCTGTCCTGTAGCTTTTGAGCTAAAAAAGTAGCTACTTAAAATGAATAATTAGACAATGTAAATTGGGGAGGAAAGGGGGGTTATATAAAAGTATCCAGTGTTCAACAGAATATACATTTCAAGAAACATAGGGTTTTTATTTTTATTTTCAAATTTACATGTGTTGCAGGAATGTAAATTCAGAAGACTGAAGTGTCATTTAATTTGGTAAATCAAAGACATATTTTTAGGTAAGGTTTTAGGTAATGATTCAGTTATGATCCAATCTAGGGTGTATTATTATTATCTAGGGAATATAATAGTTTTCTTGTAATCTTGACTTGGTCTGTTTTAGTAGGTAGGTAAGTAAAAGGCAGGCAAGCATCCTATAGATTTTTTCCCCCTAATGATCGATGTATGTACCTACATTAATAGAAAACAGAAAAATTAATAGATATAGGCCTTTTAAAAATCTTTTTAAACAGATATTTTAGGAAGAGGTGACAATGCAGAGGCCATTGTGGCTTGAAAAACATTTGTCAGTTTAGTTGAATGGCTACCCCTTCCCCACTCAAGTTCAGTCCTTATTGATTTTACCTCGCAACCCCCCAAACAGCATTATTTCTGGAATTAAAATTTTAAGAGCCCAAAAGGATAATGAATTTTTCCAGGCCAAATCCTTTATGCATCTAAACTTTTACTGAAAAAGAAGGTTAATGGAAAATGGAATTTGCTTTGAATTGCTTTCCACCTGATAGAATTTTAAAAGTATTTTTCTTGGAAGTTAATTCATATGCAGGAAAGAGGGGAAATTGCTGTAAGAGCTTTCAGTCAAAATTGAGTCATTCCAGAGCATCCATCCGAGGAATAGATATATCTGTAAAAAAAAATATTTTTTTTACAGTACAATGAAAAAGCAAGGTTTAGGTTTCAGTAAAAATTTGGCCTATTATTTTAATGAATGTATCTAGAGTACTAAAGTTATTGCCTTTGATTATCTGCTATCATATTGGTATTGACTCTTGGAGACCTCAAGAGATTTTCTCTAGGAAAGTTATTGCCTTAGGCCATGCTGGCTCAGGAATTCTGGGAGTTGAAGTCCACGAGTCATAAAAGAGCCAAAGTTGCCTACCCCTGCCTTAGGCCTTAGTAATCAACTTTCGGCAATATCTGCTCTGGGAAACTGCAGATAGTATTATGAGAGGAGGAGGAAGTCATGCGCATTGTATCCACATATAGCAGAGGTCCCCACCTTTTGGGCACCAGGGACCAGTTCCGTGGATAAAGATTTTTCCACGGACCAGAGAGTGCATGGTTATGTGTGCTGCCTGCATCCCACAGATGGGGCTTTGCTTGTTTGTGCGGACTGGTTTCTGACATGCTGCAGCCCGGTACCGGTCCACGGACCGGGGGTTGAGGACCCCTACCTATAGCATTCAGCTGCCTTTCTTACTTAGGCAGAGTTACTGTGAAGAATATTATGGCTACTTGGTCACTCAGATCCACTCCTAACTGTAGAAGAGGTCTGATCAAGTTACCTGAGATTCAGTATTGTAGTGTGATCCAGGATTAGTTTGAGCCAGTGATTCCTGAGGAGATGGATAGGTTTCTATATGCTGTTAGTTCGGCCATCTCTTTATTGGGCCCAGATCCCTCCTGGGTTATTAAGGTCATCAGGAAGCTAACTAATTGGTCTTGGAGGGGGCCATGCTTTTGGTCTTGGAGGGAGTCCTCGAGAGGACCAGTCTTGGACCCAACTACTGTCCTACCTGCAATCTTCTCTTTTTAGGGAAAGTTATTAAGATTGTGGTCAGCTTGCAGAGAACCTGGAGGAAGCAAATTATCAAAATCTGTTTCAATTGGGTTTCAGTTTTAATAATGCTTACCGATGACCTGTGTAGAATTGGCTGGAGATGGTGTGTGGGCTTCAATATTTCAGCAACCTTCAGTACTATTGCTCATAGTATTTTTTGGATCAGTGGTGGGAATTGGGTGCAAAATGTTATGGCAGTGTTCTTCATTTCATGGCCATTTCCAATCAGTGTTAGCAGAGGGGAGAGGTCATACCTTCAGCTGTCTTATATAGGCTGCCACAGGGTTAATTGCTCACTCCTGTCTAGTAACATCCACATGAAATTGTTTTGGTGACTGTGATCGTCTGTTTGGGGTTTGGTATCAGTACGTTGCTGATGAATTATATATTTCATCCCCAGGCCGGTCAGGTAAGGCTATTAAAGATCTACTCTAGTGTCTGGAGACTGTGTGGGCCTGGGTAACCAACTCCATTCGATCCTATCAGGACTGAATGACTGTGAATATTAGAGCCAAATAGTTTTCATCCATACTCTTGGATGGGGTAGTGCTTCCCCATTAAACATCATGCGCAATTTGGGAGTCCTTTTGTAATTCCAGCTCCTGCTTAAAGCTTAAAAGAGCAGCTGTTGCCAAGGGAACTTTTGCACAGTTCTACCTGATATACTAATTGGATCCCTTTCTGGAGTAGCCATTTTATGGCTTGACTATAGCAATGTGTTCTAAATAGGGCTGCCCTTGAAAGCCACTTGGAAGCTTCAACTGGTTGAAAATGCGGTTAACATTTGCAGCAACGGGCATGCCTTGTATGTTTATGTGACACCTCTGCTTCATGAATTGTGCTGTTTTCCAGTATGCCTCCAAGTGTGATTTATGCTGTTGGTTATTGCTTGTTAAAGCACTGTGTGTCCTAAGGCCAAATTATCTGAGGAACTGCCTATCTTCAGTGGTTTCTGTCTGCCTGGTACATGATGACAGAGTTGGTGCAGTCCAGGCTCCTTCAATTAAATAGTGGCATCTGTTGGAAGCCAGGAAACATATTTTCTCTATTGTGCCTGCTCTCTAGAATAAAATTCCCCCTGAAATCGGTGGCCCCTACACTGTTAGGGTTCTGTAAGGCCTTGAAAACATTTCCTAAGTCTTGGGTTAAGATGGATAGAGCCCCTTGTGAATGTGCTTTTTTTCTATGCCTTTATATAGAGTGAGGGCATGCAACAGAATAACAGAGTTGGAAGGGGCGTTGGAGGTCTTGTAGTCCAACCCCCTGCTCATGCAGGGAACCCTATATCATTTCAGACAAATGGTTATCCAATCTCTTCTTAAAAACTTCCAGTGTTGGAGCATTCACAACTTCTGGAGGCAGGTTGTTCTACTGATTAATTGTTCTGTCAGGAAATTTCTCCCTCATTCTAAGTTGCTTCCCTCCTTGATTAGTTTCTATCCATTACTTCTTGTTCTGTCCTCAGGTACTTTGGAAAATAGGTTGACCCCCCCCCTTTCGTTTTGACAGCCCCTGAGATATTGGAACCACTACTATTATGTCACTCTTAGTCTTTCTTTTCATTGAACTATAGACATACCCAGTTCCTGCAACCATTCTTCATATGTTTTAGCCTCCAGTTCCCTAATCATCTTTGTTGCTCTTCTTTGCATGTCATCTTGTTTTATACTGTTTTTATTGTTTATTATATTGTTTATTATATTGTCAGCTGGCCAGAGTCAGTTTGGAGTTAGCTGGTGCCTAAATTGAAGTAAAATTTATGTTAATGGAACTGGGAATCATTTTTACTTTAGAGCATAATTATGGGAAGTGTCAGTCTCTGTGTTGGACTTGAAAATATCTTGAATACCTCTTGCAATAAAGTGAAGTTCACTGCATTTTTGTTTTTTGATTACAGAGCAAATAGGAATTTATCAGTGAAATCTGCTGTATAAGTTGTGGAAATAAGAAATTATTTGCAGAGATTACAAATGTGTTCGTAAGCATAACCATATAAAACTGAGACCAAACTTGTGAAGAATTTTTTTTTTTACTTTAAAGAAACTCCAGCAGGAGTTGCTAAAATGATTTTCTTCCACAGGCACAAGCTGTTCAGGTAGCTGAAGTGGAACAGCAGCCACAGCCTCAGCCTTCTCCTGAACTTCTTCTTCCGCAATCTCTCAAGCCAGAGGAAGGACTAGAAGTATGGAAGAGCTGGGCACAGACTAAAAATGCAGAGATGGAAAAAGAATCACAGAACCGCCTTGCACCCATTGGTAGTAAGTGCCTTAGACTTTCCAGTTGATCATGTTCTCAGTTGCATTGCATTGATTTTAGTAATTTTGATATTTTTTTATAGCACAGTAAACCTTAATTATGTTTGTTAGACTTGCATTATAAAATGAGCCTTACCACCTTAAAAAAACCTAAATGCTGTTTCAAAAGCTATATTTTATTTGATGTGCGTCCCCCAGTTTTCTCCAGTGTGATGAGTGGAGATATATTATTTGATGTGCATCCCCCAGTTTTTTTAACACATGGGTGTATTTTTGGATGAGGGCCATACTGGGTGTTTTATGTAAGGTACAGGTAGTTCTTGACTTACAACTATTCATTGTATGACCAGTTGAATTTACAGCAGCAAAAGGTAATATATAACCAATCCTCCCACTTAAAACTATTGTACTGTCCCCACAGTCACGTGATCAAACTTTAGATGCTTGGCAACTGGCACATATTTGTGGAATCATGTCACCATTTGCAACCTTGCCATGGGGTTTCCAGCAAGCATAGCCAATGGAGGAAGCTGGGTTCACTTAACATGATTTGATTCACTTTGTGACCACATCAAAAAAGGTTGTAAAATTTGATGCAATTCACTAAGCATTGCTTAGTGACAGGGGTTCTGGTCCCAATTGTGGTTGTAAATAGAGGATTACCTGCATTGGCCTATACTCCAAAACTTTATGGGGGCAAGATAAAAACTAAATTTGTTAACTTAATGAATTATTAACTGTAGCTAACAGTGTTACTGATGTTGTCATGTACTTTTATATTCTGTCAGACTAAAAGTTACAGTTATTAGCAGCAAAACGTTTGATAAGGACAGGCTGTATCTTCAATATCAAGGTTTAAAATATTTATTGGTTACTTATTCACCAGTATGCTGAAGGAGGACGAGGTTGTGATTTTGTAGCAGAATGGGTTGATTTAAATAGTCAAGAAAAATGAGATTTAAATGGGGATTTTAAATGCCATTTGATGATCTTATCTTCTTGTTTGCAGGACGCCAGTTATTGAGATTCCAAGAAGATCTCATATCTTCAGCTGTAGCAGAATTAAATTACGGATTATGCTTAATGTCTCGTGAAGCTCGCAATAATGAAGGCGAGCCCTATGATCCAGATGTTCTTTACTATATCTTTCTGTGCATTCAAAAGGTGTGCCATCATGGAAAGTCTTGCTACAAATAGTTTTAATACCACAAATAGTTTTAGGCATGTTTTGAGTGGAAATACTAGGCTTAAAATTACACAAAAGCAATAAAACCAATATATACCATGATACTTTACTATATTTTCTTTAAAAAAAATACAATTATAAAATCCTTACCTAACTATCATCTAACTTTGCTAGTAAGGTTTACAGAAAAAAACTCCCTTAATATTATTTTTATTAAGTTTAAGACTTCAAATCTTTCCTGAATGACTCCAGTGATGTGTGGGGCTGAAGGGGAGGGGGGGGGGAGAGAAAGAATTCCATAATCCATGTTTTGAAATGCATGCAAATAAGATAAGCAAATTGTGAAAAGGAAATTGAAACTTTAACTGAAACTTTAACTTTAGCTGGATGTATGCCTTATAAACGTACCTAGGTTTTAAGTGAATTAGTATTTGTTATACCAGAATTTAGATTCTACTGAAATTTTATGTCAGTATTTTAAAACTTGTTCTTCTATATTTTTATAGTTAAGAGAGTATTGGTATTTCAAACGGTGTTCAGAGAAACACCTAAAATATTGCAAAATCGCTAACCATGTATTGTATGATTTACTTAACCACCTGATTCATTCAATGACCATGGTAAAAATGGTCATAAATCAGGTCTGCTCATATGACTTGCTTTACTGATTTGTGATGAAATTTGATTCTCAGTTGTGGTATTAAGTTGAGGACAGTCCCTGTATATTTGAATGAATACCAGATGTTGGCAATTTTCATTACTGCAACTGTTGGCTTTAATCGTTGTGAATGTAATTTTGGAAATTTAGCTGAATAGGGTATTAGCCCTGTTTAATTCAAGCTTGAGACAAGTAGTGTCTGAGACTTGCAGACTGCTTGGATGAATAATACTCTTGATTTCATATGGTAGAAATATTTTTTTTAGATTTTCAAAGCCCTGGTTAAAATTATATTAAACGTAAATGTTTGGATGTCTGAGGAAAGTAGGGGACATGTATTTGTTGAGTCCATTTTTCTGAAATTAATTTATTTGAATCTGAACTGAAATGCTTTCACTTAAAGGTACTTTTTACTTCAGACTGGTAGGGATTTTGAATATAAAATTAAACATACAGCCCGTCATTTCATTTCATTAATGAACATCATGGTAAGTTTTTTCCCCCTCTCCCTTGTGTTATTGTTTCTTGCAGTACTTATTTGAAAATGGGCGAGTTGATGACATTTTCTCAGATCTCTATTACATACGGTTCACTGAATGGTTACACGAAGTTCTCAAGGATGTGCAGCCTAGGATCACTTCTTTGGGTAAGAGAATCTTCAAACAGATAGTTGAGAGAAGTATATAAATATTTAACAATAACTAAACGATTGGTTGAATTTGCTATCACAAATCAAATGTTTTTGTTTTGAAATTTTATTTCTTGCTCTGTTAACATTACAATATTGAGGAGTGTCAGTTTGGTATCTCTGTATTGATGCTTTCTTTTTATCTGCACAGGATATGTTCTTCCCAGCCATGTGACAGAAGAGATGTTGTGGGAGTGTAAACAGCTGGGAGCTCACTCTCCTGCTACCTTGTTAACCACTCTCATGTTTTTTAATACAAAGTATGTACCAATGGAAGCATTACTTAAATAAAACCATTCCAATTATTTTAGAATCCTATTTTTTTCCAAGAATTTTGAATTAATAAGAGCAAATCAAACTTCCAGCAGAATATGGAAGAGTTACCTTGTAGGGGGGATGTGTGACATAAAGTTTAATAAATAAATAAGCAAGCAAAGAGACTAAACTTAAATCTAAAGTTGGTTTAGTACAATTACAAAGAAATTATGGACCAGTAATTTTCTAGTTCAAATTCTGCTTCGTCATAAACCATATGTGGTTTTAAGTCAATCCTCTGTCTGCAGGATGATCAGCCTGTAATCAGTAAGAAATGGAAGTTTGCTCTTTATGGCAAGTGGCTTCACATGTTTCAGAAATGTCGACTGCAGTCCAACGTTCTGTTTTCTGAAAAGGCCATCCTAATCCTTTAAGAATATATTTTTTTCTGCAGTGTTTTTATATCATTTGAAGGGCACTTAATTCTTTATTTTGAACATAGATCTTTCCCCTAATTGTTGAACCAAATTGCTGCGATAAATCAATATCTTTTTGCTGAAAATGATTTTATCTAGATACAATAGTATGGCAACAATCTTTTGTTTAACCAGGTTTTTAACTATATATACGAATGTCCTTGATTATTGAAATCTAGATACTCCATGCCTAGGTCCATAGTCCATAAATGTTTGACCATTGATGGATATGGGGGACATGTTTTTTTTTTCCCCAGATTTGGGATAGAGAATATAATTTAATGGGCATTTTTCCTGTGTCTGCAGATATTTCCTGTTGAAAACAGTAGATCAACATATGAAACTGGCCTTTTCAAAAGTCTTGAGGCAGACTAAGAAGAACTCTTCTAATCCTAAAGATAAAAGTACAAGCATCCGATATCTAAAGGCTCTTGGCATCCACCAGGCAGGCCAAAAAGGTAGAATTTCTGAAAAAATGAAAATTTCTAATACTTAGCTATGTTCATTTTTTCAGGTCCACTACATAGACTTTGTGCAATAAATTGAATATAAAGTGTCTTGTAAAGACACGAATGTGATCTGTTGGAAATATGAATATCCCCCTTGCTATATGTGAAATTGCTGCTTTCACTTTAAGTGTTTCTGGTAGTCATTCATCAAGCCTTTCATAACTTACATTTCTCTTACATGCAATGCCTTATTAAGAAGGCCAATTATTTGCAAGAACTCTTTTGGAACATAGTATTTGGCAGTATATGCAACAATGAAGAATAGCAGAGATTACAAAATATGTGTTCTTTGTTCCATTAATAACATTGACAACAGTCTGTTCATCTGCTATAAGAAAGTATTTCATGGTTCTGTATCTCTTGGGGTTGATTTGCAGTTACAGATGATATGTATGCAGAGCAGACAGAGAATCCTGAAAACCCGTTGAGGTGTCCTATAAAACTCTACGACTTCTACCTCTTCAAATGGTGAGTTTTCCCATCACAGTTGTCCATTACCTTCAAGGGCAGGTAGTTTGGTACAGGTTGTCCTGCAGCAATTAATTAGAACAATTAATCAGTGGAACTACCTGCCTCCTGAAGCTGTGAATGCTCCAACACTGGAAGTTTTTAAGAAGGGACTGGACGGCCATTTGTTTGAAATGGTCTAGGGTTTCCTGCCTGAGCAGGGGGTTGGACTAGATGACCTCCAAAGTCCCTTCCAACTTTATTATTGTTGTTGTTGTTACTGTTACTGTTATTTATGATTTATGATTTTCTTTGCCAACTTCCTACAAGAAAAGTAAGTGGGGAAGTTGGCAGAAGGTCACAAGTAGCGACACCTGATATCTTTGCTTAATGACCCACCGCTATTCACTTAATTATGTCAGTTGGGAATGTCAGAATTTCCATTGCTAAGCAGTAAAGTCACGTGACATCAGACTTACGACTGTGTCACTTAGTTGCAGAAATTCCAGTCCCACTTGTCATTAAGTGAGGACTACTTGCAATCACAGAAATGCTTGATTCATATATTTTACTATGTGGCAAGGAAAGTATGTTGCAGACCCTGTCAGTTAAAGAATTCCAACTTGCAGAAGGAAGGGAGCCTACCCTCCTGTTGCCCTCACTCTTTGGAACCTTTCCACCTAGTAGGTGAGATGGGTCCCTGGTCTCCTGGCCTTTGGAAAATGGTAAAAAAACTGGAGCTGAGCATTTTCTAAATGTAATGAATAAACAAACAGTCTTTGAACAAGCTTAATATACATTAAAGGCCTGCAAATAGGAATATCAAGCCTGTAATCTTAATTATTTTCTTGGTTAATTAGCTAATTTCTTAAACTAATTAGTCCGGGCTTAATTCAGTACTAATTTGCTGAACAAAGTCGCTGAATATGTTTAAGCAGTTGCTTGTAGTAGGGAATGTTTCTTAAGTAAGCTTCATTTGAGAGTCCTGTGAAGTCACCAAGCTAACTGGCAGTCTTCCAGTTACTAAAATGGGATTTCTTGCTACATGATACAAAGGAAACATAGGCAATTGATTATATCAAATATGGTGTATATATGCTATATCCATATTTTTTTCAAATTCTTTTAAGTGAGTCACCAAAAGGTAGAAAGAGGCAAAAAAAAAAAAATACAGTAAGAAAGGTATAGCACAGTGGTTGCAAACCTATGGCACGCGCAGCCCTCTCTGGGCATGTGCCATCGCCCCAGCACACGTGGTCTCTAAAAGCTTACCATCACTGGCCTAAGGCCAGCCAGCCAGGAGCCGCCATTGGGGAGTCCACCATCCCACCCGCCAGAGACCCCTTGGATCTCCCCCAACCCTACCCGGCTCCCACAGGTGTCCCTCCCCATAAGGGACATAAGCAACATCAAGGTGGCATCATAAGCAACATCAAGGTGGCCACGCCCACCCTGGCCATGTCCACCCAATCTGCCATGACTACTGCAGCCACACCCATCCAGTGGTCACGCCCACCCAGTCTGCCAAGCCCACTGTAGCTGCACCCGTCGAGTGGGCCACACCCACCTGGCACTCGGCGATACATAGGTGGGTTTTGCAGTTTGGGCACTCGGTCTCTAAAAGGTTTGCCATCACTGGTATAGCATATGCTTAAAGTTTCCATTGATAAGAATTATTCCTATTTTATTCTAATTACAGATTATCTTAATCTGATTTCATTATATACAATAGACCAGATTCATTTGCGCTTTTCAGATTTCATTTTGCCTATTAATTTCATGAAGAGGAAGAGGAAACAGCCTTTGTTCCTAAGATAGTGTTAATAGTATTTCCAAAGCAAACACTAACGTGTTTTTTTTTCTCTTTGTAGCCCGCAAAGTGTGAAAGGCAGAAATGATACATTCTATTTGACTCCTGAACCAGTGGTGGCTCCCAATAGCCCCATCTGGTATTCCATCCAGCCAATCAGTCGAGAGCAAATGGAGCAAATGCTTACCCGGATTCTGGTGATACGAGAAATTCAAGAAGCTATTGCGGTGGCCAATGTTAGCACCATGCACTAAAGGCATCCCTCCCAGTTCAGAAAAAAGGGTGCAGGGTGGAACTGGGTGGGGTGACAGCGAGGCCAGGATCAATTGTACAGCCTTTTACACTAAAGGAGATGCCTAAGTTTTTTTTTTAATTGGTGTAGTTAAGAAGCCCTTTTAGGCTTCTTCTGGTTAATAAGAGACCCTTTCCATTGTGTATCTGACCCTTTTGCATCAGCTTTCTGGACACATTGAAGGCTGCATTCTTTCTTTAGGAGCTGTGAAGTTCCATAGGTTGACTTTGGGATTTTTTATGATGTGAAAAAAACAAATTTAATTGGTGGACTTGGCCTGGGTGGGCCACTACATTCAAGCTCATGAACTTGGAAGCAGAAAACGGTGGATATCTGCCTGACCTAAAGAAAAAGGTGGTTTGCAGTTTCCTTGTGCTTGGACACTAACATGTCCTAGAGGGGGATGTCCTGCAATTATGATTTATAAGGAGAAGAAAATCAATTTCTATTAAGACCTTAAAAGTGACATTTTTAGATGTTAAGTACAAACTACAACACTTGCTTCTCTTCTCTCTCTCTCTCTCTCTCTCTCTCTCTCTCTCTCTCTCTCTCTCTCTCTCTCTCTCTCTCTCTCTCTCTCTCCCCTCTCCCCCCCCCCTCTTTCTCTCTCTCTCTCTCTCTGTTTCTCTGCCTCTCTCTCTCTTGTTTGGCCTGATGTTGAGGCCTTAAATCCTTGAGGCTCCTGTGCCTAATGGAATTCTTGTAACATACACTTGTGTATCATATAAAGATACCACCCTGTTTCTCTTATGTATTCTTATGCTAGTTGTTTATTAAGAATGACAAGCACGTCTTTTGAACATGCTGTTGAACAATGTGTCTTTATTGGGGGAGCAAAAGACATAATTAGTAACATACAGAATGTCTTAACTATTCCTCTACAAATTTGCTAGCCTATTTAAAGAAGGGTTATTTTTTTTTCCTGGTTACCTGATTCTATGGGATTCGTGCGAGAAATTGTTTATTAGCATACTAACTTGTTGCTTTTGTTGTAATTTTTAATTAAATGAATTTAGAATTGGGATAGCCGGTATTTGAGGCCAGGACTTTTCTTTTTAACCTACTTGCCTGAAAGTCTGAGACTTACTGCAGATGTTTATTAGTACTGGGATTTAGAGAGCATAGAATCCCTTTCTTCTTGAACATAGCATTATCATAACTTTATGACAACTGATTTTAATCCATCAGAATTTAAGAACATTCCTTCATCATTATCTCAGCTGGCAGCAGTTGTGTGTAACATTGATTGTAGAAAGAGGAAAAGCAAAAACATCCAGTCCTTATAGCTTTCTAAATTATATTTATGCATCCGTTTGACCTCTGTTTTGTTTGAACCGACAGGTTTTTTTTTTTGTTTTAAGAACTGAACCATAGGAACTATGTTGTGCTGGGACCAAGCCCAGTATTTTGCTTTTTTCGCATTACTTATTATTTTTGGGCCATTGTCTACTTAAAGATATTGTGATGATGACTTCAGATTTTCCACCATATTTTCACCAGTTAGAATTTAAAACTGGTGTGATTGTTCAGTTCAGCATTAACGTTACACGTTTTTTCCTTTCTCATAAAGCAGCTGGATTGAAATTAGAATCAAAGTCTGTGTAATTCTGCATTGGTTTTCTGAAGAACACATTTTTCTGCATTTAAGCCTACTATTACAGCAATATTATAGAAGAGGGCAAGTAACTTAAGATATGTATGAAAAATTACTTGATGCCTTCCTGAAAATTGCATGAGAAAAAGTGCTATTTGTTTTTGTTTTTTTAAAGCTATGATCAGTACATTCATCCCTATTCAGAAGAAAAGTAGCTCTGCATAAAAAGAAAGGAGCAGAATTGCAGGAAAAGTGGTGCTCTCCCTCAGGCAAGGAAATGTAACACTGCTCCAGATAACAATCCACAACTGTGTTCCAAATAGGTACTTGGGTATTCCTTACATGAGTGTGTGTATACACAGACATATGCCGACCTATTATACAATCATGTGAAAAAATAAGTACACCCCATATAAAGTTTTTTCTTTTTTAATATTTGTGGACATACCAGTGTTTTATCTTCATTCAAACAATACATAAAGACAAATTGTGATGTAATTGAACAAAAAAATGAAAAATTGACTTTATTAATCAAATTTATATAGCAGCGTATCTCACAGAAAATGGACAGTGTAGAACAATCCAGTGAAACAAGGATGGCAAAAGCTGGCAATTATTTAAATAACACATGCCATTTCTTTCTGGAGGGTGAACCCAACAGCCTTGGTTCTTATCCCAAGTATTGCCTCCTTTGGCAGAAACACCCTCAAATGTTTCTTACAACCATTTCCCAGTTTCTGACATCCACTGAGAGTAATTTTTTCCCACTCTTTCGTGGAGATTTTTTTTTCAGCTATGTAATGCTTGAGGAATTTCTTGCATACATAGCCTGTTCTAAAATCACTTGACAGCATTTTGATGGGATTTAGATCCCAGATTTGAGTTGACCATTCTAGAACACTCAATTTATTTTTTTCAGCCATTCCTTGGTTAATTTACTGGAATGTTTAGAGTTGTTGTGTTGTGAGGTCCACTTTCTGTTCAGCCTTTTTTTCTGACAGATGGCCTCACATTATCCTCAAGCACTGTCTAGTACAACGAAGAACACATAGTAGTTTCTGTGATGATGGGTTTATCCAGGCTGTTATGCAGCAAGGCAGCCCAAACCATAACATTTCCACCAACGTGGTTTATAGTTGGTATCAGGTTCTTTGATTTTTATAAAATACGTCTTTTGATCCTGTTGCCAAATGACCCCTATCATTGCCTTATCTATCCAAAGCACATTGTACCAGAGGTCTTGGACTTTGCCTAAGTGTTCAAAAGTTTCATCCTGGTACACCCCTCATGTAGATCTAATTTGTGCAACTGCTTTGTAACAGTAGGCTCACATACTTCAACATCTTGCATTCTGCTCTTGGGTTGAGTTTAATGGGGTAACCTGGCCTGGCAAGTTAGCAGTTCTTTGAAATCTTCTTTAGTTGTAGATGATCTTACAGGCAATGGAATAATTGGTGTCTGTTTGGCAATTTTTTAAAATCTCTTCCCATACTCTAAGGAATTTCTTACTTTTCTGAAGGCCTCGGAGAGCTTTTTCTATTAGACATAGTAGCAGTACACACTTTAACAACAAAGAGCAAATCAAAGTACAATTCTGAAATAGGTATAGTTGGATACTTTCAATAAGGCAGGTTCCAACCAGATTCTCTCTAAGATGCTCTAATCATTTGCACCTGATTTAGTGCACCTGATTCTAGTTTTAGATATTTGAATAGTGATAAATATAGGGATGTATTTGCTTTTCTATATATGAAATTTGAATTTGTTTATAGGTAGTCCTTGACTTACTGCAGTTGGCACCAGAATTTGTTACTAAGCAAGGCAGTTGCTAAATGAATTGCACCTGATTTTACAACCTTTTTTGTGACAGTTAAGTTAATCACATGGTAATTAAGTGAATCCAATTTCCCCCATTGACTTTGCTTTTTGGAAGCAAGCTGGGAAGGATGCAAATGATGATCACACGACCCTGGGATGCTGCAACCATCATAAATACTTTCCAGGCACGTAAATTATGATCCTGTGACCATAGGGATGCTGCAGTGATTGTGTGAGGGCCAGTTGTAAGTCACTTTTTTTTCCAGTGCCATTGTAACTTTGAATAGTCACTAAATGAATTATTGTAAATTGGGGATTACTTACAGTTAAATTACGCAATGGATTACAAAATGTAAATGGTTATATTAACATATCCTCTTAACAATATTGTTGAAATGAAGACCAGCTATATGTTGAAAAATATTTTAATAGGCGTGCACTTTTTTACATGTCCATACGTGCAACTTAACATAAAAATATAAGGAATATATATGTATCATACATGGTCAACCTTGGTATCAATGCCATTTCTGTGTTTAAGTAGATTTAATATTTTAAGTTACTCAGAAATGTCCTCCCAGCTCTTTTGTAAATTATTTATGAAAGTTTGCCTAAGTTCTCTTTTTAAGATATAAAATATGAGGGATCTAAGTACTTTGAGTCATACAGAATATCCCTTACTTCTAAGGCATGGGTGTCAAACTTGCCATGTCACGTGACGTGTCGCAACATATCGCGACTCTTTTTGCATTGCTGGCAATGGGGTGGGCGTGGCTTCAGTATGACAAAACCGGCCCACGGGCCATCTGTTTGATACCCCTGTTCTAAGGCAATGATTGTTAAACATTTGACCCAATTTCTCTTTTTCCTAGTGGGGAATAATGTCATCTCTACAAAAACTGTTCTGCACAAGTATTTTGGCAGCAGTCATCCTAAATGGGATCTTCAACTCACATACACGCAAATTAGAAATAGCTCTATCACTTTCAGTTTAACAACCACTGTTCTAAGGCCTTAAAAGTATTCTTGTTTCTCTCCCACAAATGTCACTGGCCAGAAAGGTTGCATTTTGAAAGGCAAATTGAACTTTCACCATAGACTACGTAGTTTATTTAACAGAATTTCATGTATTCTAGCATTTCTCATGCAAAATTTTTCAAAGTGAATAACTTTTGTTTCGTAAGGAAGTATATGTGAAGAGTAGATTCTTTCCATTTATGGAATGAAATATGAATCTAATTTTAGACCACATTCAGGTGCAGATGTACCAGTTTGGAAAGTTGAGGGAAAAATGTAGCTGTTTTTAAGGTACAAGTGTTTGAATCTGGATGACTACACAGTCCTAATACTAAGTTTACATCCTGTGCTCATCTGGCAATGCGTAACTGGTCGGAGAATTAAAAAACAAAACAGAGGAACAATACAAATTTTCATAAATAAATAGCTTAGGAAGCAGCTTTTGAAGCAGTCTGAGATCTTGTAAGAGATTGCATTGTCTATATATCAAGTTTGAATTGAGACACTCTGGTTTATCAAAATGTTGATAAGGGTAAGCATTTTAATCATCAGCTATAAAGCTGAAGTGGTGGCTTGATTTCCCCTTTCAACTGAAAGTAGTCCAGGATTACGATCTTTTTTAAAGGACTGCAGTAAAGTTAACAAAAACTCCTATCAGAAGTAAGTCTTCATCCTGGTTCATCCAAGCCGGGGATAAATAAGCAACATGGCGACTGCTTTGGGAAGAAGGTTACAGTTTATTGAAGAAGCAGAAAGATGGTCCTTGCAAGAAAGAGGAGAGGAAAGAGGAATTGAGCACATGGGCAGTAGGTTCTTACACCCCCTCTAGCCTTGTTTGGAATAGTTTCCTGTTCCTGTGGCATGAACCTTGAGGCTATTTTTGAGTGTTTTTCTAGGCCTTGATATCTGTGGTTTAATCCTATTATCATATCCTGCTTCCCAGGTGATGGGGTTAATGACTCCCTAGAGTTTGGGTGGGGCATGCAGATTTTCTTTGTCTTTTTGATTGCTCTGGCTTCATCTTTCTGATGGTTTTATATCTGCATTTTAAAAAATCCTTTTGAGGAGAAATATATTTTTCTGCCCTTTTAATATTTCCTTCTCTGGGCTAACTTCCCTGACTCCCTTCGTAGGTGCGGTAGGGTTGACTCGGAGGCCCCCTTCTGGCTCTAAATGAGGGAGACGGAAACTACACCGAAAACCAGCTTTAAGCGTGTTGATTACACCCGTTGAACGGGATCGTAAAATTTTGGAGACGATACCATCGCCAGAAAGGGGAGGGAGCGAATCATATACACAGTACTACCTTGCCAGTCTCCTTAAAGAAAAGCCGAGGAGACTGGTGCCGGCGATTCACGCATATTACCTGGTTACTATTTCTGCGCCCCCCCCCAAAAAAACCTTCAAAAGCCCCTCTCTGAGCCTCGCTTTTTTTTCCTGGCACCTCTATTAAGTGGGGCAAAATACTATCGCCGAATTGTGACTGCGGGGCTGAAAAATAAACTATCCAACGCATAGAGACTTGTCAAAACAGAACCCATAATGGAGATTTCGCCGATTTCCTGGCTGCCACAAATGAAGTAAAAAATTAATTTGCAACAGATAATACGTTTATAATCTTCCTGTGCAGATTTCAAATTTTATATTCTACGTTTTATATTTTACCCCTGTGTTCCTTTTTACTGAAATAGGATGTGAACGCGCCTTACAATAAATAAATAAACCGAAGTAGCCCATTCGTGGGATACACCTTCGGTTCTCAAGAGACTTTTTTCCTATTTAAGCCCAGAGGATTCACTTGCATAGGGCAAATCACGTCGATGGGTGCCCTACAGCTCAACTGTCCCGGAAAACTGAAGGAGCGAGGGCGCCTCACCAGAACGCTCCTGGCGCAGAAGGGGGGAGGGGAGCGAGCGAGGGAAGGAAGGAAAAGACACGCCCCTTTCTCACTTTTCAGCTTGGCTTCAAATAAGAGCGGGAGGGAGGGAAGAGCAGCTCCGCCTCCAGGAGCCGAGAAAGCCGCTTTCCACTGACGTCACCGGGCCTACGTCGGGCGGAGGGGCGGGGCTCCTCGCGCGCCCCTTTTCTGTCTCGCGTCGGTGACGTCCCAGTCTTTCTGAGGCCAGGAGGCGCGGGAAGCTGGGCGGTGCGCGCTGCAGGCGGACGGCCCGCGAGTCGAGGGGAGGTGACCCGACCGGCTATGGCCGATTACCTGATCAGCGGCGGCACCGGCTACGTGCCGGACGACGGGCTAACGGCGCAGCAGATGCTGAACTCTGGGGACGGACTGACTTACAAGTGAGGAGAGGAGGAGGCGAGCGGGGAGGAGGGAAGGCAGACGAGCGTGGCAGCGACGGGGCAACCGATTTGCCACGCGGTGCCCGGTCCGGCGGGGAGGTGACGGAACTGCGCACGGGGGTGGGGGGAAGACTCCCGAGCCCCAGCTTCTCCAACCCGGGGAACTCCGGCGGTGGTCACCACTCGCGCCATTCCGAGGTTGCGTGGCCGTAGCACCGTTTGAAAGGTGTGAAGATGGACCGGGCGTCAAAGACGGCGGCGCGGTTGCGATCTTTGGCGGGGGGACGGGTTGGCGGGGCAGCTGCGGACAGCTGCTGCGAAGTGCGATCCTTGGGCAGGACCAGGACTGGGGCGATCTGCTCGAGTTGCCAAGCGTCGAAACACGGGGATGATGCCAGCTTGAAGGGTGGGCGGACCAGAAGGGAAGCTTGGGAGCCCCTCGGAGTCTTTAAAAAGCATCAGGCCAAATCCGCGGGACATAAACCGTGCTTTTTCCTTAAAGATCACCGGTGGTGCGTTATTATAGTGTGTAGGCTGGTGTCCTCTCGTTTACTCTGATTCCTTATAGCCGTCTGTAAAAGGAAGAGAGACGTCGAAAGCTTCCCCTGGTGGAGGATTTTTATAACTAAGCGCACTTGTAGCATGAAATAAAATGATCGGATCAATGTATATTAATGATAGTATGAAATAAGGAGCTTTTAAATTTAAAAGTTCCTGACATAATCTAATAATCTAGTAGTAATAATTACGCTATCGTTACATGCCTGAGAACATAGGCTTTGCTTTCTTCCTAAGCAGTAGTGGAAGAGAACTTTTCCAGCTATATAGCGCTACTTTCATTGGGTGATTAGAACTTGTTTCAGAGCAAAATGAACATTTGCTGAATCGTTCTTTACATTGCATATTGATGGTCAAGGAGGAGTCCTCTCTGGTCATTTTTAGCTATCCTTTCTGTTTCCTGGCATGCTGAATATTTAAATTTTGACATATATTCTGCATACCTCAAAATTCTACACTTTGCAGGCTTATAAGGTAATGGTGTCTCTTGAATGTTGTGGTCACAAAGATTGCTGTGAACTCTCTGTGCCATTGGATTGATTGCTGTCCATTTTATTTGATAGTTCCCCCCTAAGGAATCATTTAATATAGTTTCTCAGGTTACATGTATTTCTACAGAGTTTGGACACAGCATATGCATTACTAAGCCACCTGTTGCTTCATGTGACAAATTTTAGTTCTTAGGTCATAATCCATAAGCCTCTCTATTACAGCCCTATTTATTTATATAGTTTATGTCTTATCTTTCACACTTAGGGAAGTTATCAGTAAAAAATGATAATCGTTAAAAAATTCATGAGAATAGCTAAAATCATTTAAGGAAGTTCACATGTTTACATACGTACTTTGTATATTTCTCTGTCTTGGAAGTAATTTGAGAAAATGCTTTGAAAACAACTCCCATAGTATAATTTGATTGTCTTTTCTTACCAGAAATACTCCCATCCCAACATTACAAAACTGCTATCTATAAATAATCATATCTATGTGCAATACGCTTTGCAGCTGAAACACTGAATTCTTTATAAGCAATAGGTGTCAGCTGCTATCTACTGATAAATACAGTAAAATCCTAATAGCAAAAGAGATTTTTCTCATTAAGTATCCATATCCTTATTAGCACTACTCATTGTATTGCATTGTAATGCAGAAAGTGAATTGTATATTACACATATTATTGTCAATGCCATCACAAAGTTTGTACAGATAGTTCAGGCAGGATCTGGTTAGATTAAGAAATTCATACAAATGTTATATGTAAAAATGGCAACATTATAAAACTTATTTGTAAGCATTAATAGTATAGAATGTAGATTGGGATTACAAAAGTGTGTAGAGCTTAAATCCCTCAGGAGTTATTTTATATTTTCAGCATAACCCAGGATATGCTATCTGTGTATATGGGAAGTTCAATGGAAGGTCTTTTTAGGTCAGGTTTGAGTCATAGTTTGGTTAAATATTAGCTAGCATTTCCTCCCAAATGTGTATGGAGATTCTCAATTATCCAGGTCATAGTTGTCCCAAAGGTGCTTTTCAAAAGGCAGCTGG